GTGTCAGCCTAGTATCAGCGGTTTAGTCAGCAGTGCACTAAACTGTAGTGCTGGAAACCATATGGCTGACTATGGGTCCAGATCCCCAGTTGACCTGAAAATATGCTACATGAGCACATGCCTAAGATCTCAGTGTGCTGTAGAACTGTGGGAAAGAGGTTACAGCATAAGAGACCCTTTCAAAGATGCCTCTTTCTATCTCCCTTTTCTCTCTAGTGTGTACACATGCACTCTCTCATGAATTAAAAAGAACATAAAATACAGTATCCAGGCTTGTACCTTTGCTTAAGATGTCTCAAGTATGGTTCATTAAGAAAATAAATTACGTTTTTATTTTAAATCATCATTGTTATTATTTCTAGAATTCTAAAAATAATTGGACAAAACATTCTTAGAGGTCAAAGACTGTATTTTATATATTTTTAATGAACTTTACAGTGACCATGACAATGCTAGTAAGGTGTTAAGTCCCAACTAAATATGCATTCCCTTGAGAAAAAACATTTTGGACTTAATTATTTGTACAAATGGTATAATTTCTCAGATGTCCAGAGCTTTAACTTTAACCTAAAAAGAACCAAGAATGCACTAGTTTAACTTAAAACTTTTTCTGTTTTGTAAATCTTTTTTCTGAAAAATATAAAATAATTTGGATGAGTCAGTGTAATAGTCTAAAGTTTTCTTCACAATTTTTCTTTCCATATTATTCTTCTATATAGCTCCTGAGTACAGGTAATATTAGCATATTTCTGAGGCCTTTTAAAATGATAATTTGGGCCTTTTCTTTGCCTTTTAAACATGAAAGACAAATTAGATCATATACTAAGACACAAGTTCATCCCATCCAATGGACCTATGCTTCAAAGAATATGTATTTTAGGGCTTTGGCCTGATTTTTCCAGTAAGGCTAGATCACTGGAAAAATGATTTCAGTATCTTCTGCTTTTATGGGGTCAACCTAAATAATAGACAGAAAGAGATTCACCAAAGATAATGGATTTATTTGAAAATGGGTATTGCAATGGCAATATGCAGTGTGCAGTAGTAAATTGTGGGTCTATTCAGAGATAAGGAAGACAAAGGTTTTTAGAGGTAAAATGGGGAGGGTTACATAAGTTGTTTTGAAACAATTACCCTTGGCTACAAAGATCAATAACAAGTCTGGCATCAATCCAAGGTCAGACAACAGTTGCTCGGCTGTTGTCCTTGCAGAAGTATTTTTGTGTGTGTGTGTAAGGTTGTGGTGGCCTTTGTGCAAAGTGTGGTTTTGGTAGTCTTTTGTGATAATTTGTGTTATCAGGCAATCATGTGTGAGAACTTCCCCTTCATGGCCTTCTCCAGCACCATTGTGTTAGAGTTTGACACAGGTGACTCCATTTTTATTTTGATCACTTTTACAGTGGGCTTTGTTCTAAAGATGCACAGGATGAACCAAAATAATGTTTATGACACTATTCTGGTTAGCTGAGGTTTTGTTCTTGTTTATGCTAAGTGACTTTTGCTCTAATACAGTTAACAGAAATATTTACACATCATCCAAGAACTATTTCAAGTGATGATGAAAAGGCACTTTAATTGAAAAACTACTTATGTAGGATGAGGTTAGGAGAGAACACTGCTTTTTATTAATTCAGTATATTACCCACCCTATCATTCATTTTACTCCTTTGTTATAACAAATACATTTAGATTCATATTTGAATGAAAAGATTTTTATGGTTTATCTTCCTTGGGGATTGTAACTTTCCAAAGGTGCTCTTAAATATATTACTACCTTATTTAAACTATTCACTTCCCAGATGTGCACTGCTTTGCACAAAAAATAAGTCACTAATGCTCTTGAACACAAAAGAAAAATATTCTGTTGGGTTTCCCTTTTTATATATTTTAATTATGACTTCATGCCAGTTCTTTATAGATACACCTCTCACAGGACACAATTCTCTTTCATATGTTTTCTATACTTATAGAAAGAAACATCATATTAGCAAACACCTGTAGAAATTTCATTCTCAGTGCGTGGCTTTCTCTTGGTATATGGAGAGACACCCTCGAAGTGCTTCTGTGGGACAACTGGACTTTATCTTTTTGATAATGCCTTCCTTGATTTCTAAATATTTTCTTGACAATATGTTATTTTTATTAATCTGGAGTAAACATTTTAGATTGTTTTATGACCTTACAAGATATTAAAATCAAAGGCCTGGAAAAATATCTAAGAAAAGTTGTCAGTTTCCACGGTGGGATATAGAGTTAGTTGGTACATATGGGAAGTTACACAGGCAGAGAAGTGTCATAATAAAAGAGGAATTTAAAGATTTTATTAGGGGGAGTCTTCAAAAGTTCATGGAAAATGCATATTTTGAAAAGAGCTACTCATGGATTTCAATTTTTTTTTTTTTTAATTTTTGAGTTTTGCTATAGGGCATGCACCCTTGCCAGAGAGATAGACAAAGAGAGAAAATGAGAAATCACCCCCTTGGAGGCGTTGGATGGTCATGCTGCAATCCCTTCTTCATTTACCTCCTGATATTTGGGGCATGCATGCACACGCAGCAGCGTGATTTTCAAGCCACCAGGTCTGGGAGTCAAACTGCAGTTGGCTATGTGAGAGTCCAGCACCTTAAACTCCATGTCACCTGCTGTCCCTGTATTAATGTGTATTAATATTTAGGCAATAGGTCATTGAAAGTTAGAATATAAGCTTATACATCATGAAACAAGAATGTCTGTGGAGTCCCAGCTTTGAACATCCTTAAGAAAAGAATAAACAGTTATTTATAGGGGCCAGCAGATGGCGGAGTGGTTAAGGCACTAGACTATCACGTGGCCAAGCACAGTAAGAGTCCCAAACCCAGGGGTTTGAAAAACTCACGCCAAAGGACCAGCAGTTGGTGTAATGGCTATGTCACTGGACTCCCATGTAGTTGACCATGGTTCAAGTCCCAGACCCAGTGGCCTAAATTCATGCCAGCTGTGATGGCCATCCCCCCCTGGGGGGTGATTTCTCACTTTCTGTCTCTCTCTTTTTGGTGAGCACACGTGCCCTATACCAAAAACCTCTCTTTAAAAAAAAAAAAAAGAAAGAAAAGAAAAAGAAAACAAAAGAAACTCATGTCAGGCATGTGTGCTTGCATGCCCAAAATCCCTACAGGAGAATAGGGGAGAAGGGATTGAGGCATGGCCATCCTCCCTGGGTGTGGGAGGCTGCGCACAAGCAAGTCTGCGGAGGTTTCTCAGAGAGCAAACAATTGCCATGATTGGTTCCCTTCAAAAAACCTGACCTTCGAAACCTTGCTCTGATTGGCCACTAGAATCCCTCAAATTTGCTTATCTGGCACCTCATGATTGGTCCAAAAGCAACCAATCACGGCCCACCGTTTACAACCCACCAGAGTGTATATAACCATGATGCCTGGCCCACAGTAGCCAGACTCGTCTCCAGACGACCTGGGAGACCCTGAAGAGTTGTAACACTACATCGTCTCCAGACGAGTTGTGACACCACGTGGCATCTGTGCTGCTCACAGTAGACTACACGACCCTTAAGAGCTGTGACACTGCGTCGTCTCTGTGCTGTGCTGCCCACAATAAACAGACGACGCTGTCATCTCCATGCTGTAACACTACGCCGCTTGTCCTGGCTCTCACTCCTTCACTCAGGAAACCTGTTCGGCTGTCCCCCCGGGTCGGGACACCTGGGGCATGATTTCTCACTTTATGTCTCTCTCTGTGTCTCTGACAAGCACATGCTCCCTAGAGCAAAAATCTCTCTCTAAAGAAAAAAAATGTTTGGGAGAATTTACCCTGAACTCATCTAGACTTGGAGCATTCTTTGTGTGAGGGTTATAAACTGCTGTGCCCATCTCTTTAACAGATATGCAATTCAGACCAAGATCCTCAATTTTACTCCAGTACCACAAAGTCGTTTTTGTTTTTCTTTTTCAAATTTGTAGCTCCCTACTCTGACGATGAGTGATACAAATCCCATTATCTTTTGCAAATGTCCTTATGTGATTAATGTGACTGTATGTAGTCTTCCTTTGCCACTGCTGCCCGCTACCCTATACAAATGGCCCCTTTGCTCTCCTTAGGCTCTGATACCCTGCTCACGACTGTAACTTCAACCTGTTTCCCCCTTCTCACCGCTCCCAGACTGCCCCATGGTGTGGACACCTCCTGCTTTCTCATCTCATCCATTTTTGAAATTGTTCCTGCCAATAGGAGTCTATATAATTCAACTTAAATTCCATATCTACTTTTTTTTTTAATGGACAATGCTATATCAACACTCTGCAAAAAGTGTTATCAGCATTGTCTGAGTTTTCATTCCAGCTCTGCTCCTGATGAACTGTGCAGCTATGAACAAATCAAATCAACTTCTTGGGACTCC